TCCTCCTCCTAATTCTCCTTCTCCTCCTTCTTCTTCATCTCCTCCTCTTCCCTCTCCATTTCTTTTTCCTCCTTCTCCTCCTCCTTTTCTTCCTCCACTTTTTTCTCTCCATCCTCTTCCTTCTCCTCTTTCTTCTTTTCTGCCTCTTCCTTCTTTTCCTCCTCCTCTTCCCCCTTCTCTTTCTCCTTTTTTTCTCCTTCTCCTTTTCTCCCTCCATCTTTTCTAATCCTTCTTCTCCTTCTTAGCCTCCTCCTACTCCTTCTTCTCCTCCTTTTTCTTTTCCTCCTTCTTCTCCTTCTCCTTTTTTTCTCCACCTTCACCTACTCCTTCTCCTCCTCCTCCTTTTCCCCTTCTCTCCCTTTTCCTCCTTTTTCTCCCCTCCTTTTTTCTTCTTTTCCTCCTTCTCCTTCTCCATCTCCATTTCCTTCTCCTCCTCCTCCATCTCTTCTCCTCCTCCTCCTTCTCTTCTGTCTGTTCCTTCTCTTCCTCCTTATTCTTCTTCTTCTCCTCCTTCTCCCCCTCCTTCTTTCCTCCTCCTCCTCCTCCGTTTCCTTCTTTTTCTTCTCCTCCTTTTTCTCCTTCTTTTCCTTCTCCTCCTCTTCCTTATCCTCCTCCTTCTCTTTTTCCTTTTTCTTTTCCTCCTTTTCCTTCTCCACCTCCTCCTCCCCCTCCTCTTCCTACTCCTCTTTCTTCTCCTCTGTCTCCTCCTCCTACTCCTTCTCTTCCTCCTCCTTCTCCTCCTCCGTCTCCTCCTCATTCTCCTTCTTCTCCTCCTCCTCCTCCTTCATCTCCTTCTTTTTCTCCTACTCTCCCTCCTTCTCCTCATCCTCCCTCTCCTCTTCCTCCTACTCTTTCTCCTCCTCCTCCTCCTTCACCTTCTCCTCCTTCTGTTTCCTTCCCCTCCTTTTCCTCATTTCCTTCTCCTTCTTCTTTTTATTTTCCTTTTTTTCCTCTTCCTTCTCCTCCTCCTCTTCCATTTCCCATCACAGGTAATCGAACCCGCCCTCCCACCGCAAGACACAGGTCAGAGGAGGCGACATCGTCCACGCGTGTAGAGGAGTCACGGGAGCCCACGCACACGCGTTTCACAGAAGCCATTTAATGGCCCAGACCCTCGCCTCCCCTCGGCAGCCATCCGTTCGCCCTTTGGAATGACGACCGACGCCGGGGAAACTGAGGTATAAACAACATACACATAACATATAACATATTATATACACGCATGAGGTATACACGGGTATCGTCAGCCCATCCCTGCCCTCATCCTTCGGGGATGGGGAAGAGTGGGCGGAAAGGACCCATCCCGGCTTCTCCTGGTCCCTGAGATGATTGATGCGGACTCCGGCTGCGGTGACATAGCCTTAAAGGACTCCGGCTGCGGCGACATAGCCTTAAAGGACTCCGGCTGCAGTGACATAGCCTTAAAGGAGTCCTGCTCCTGCTGCGGTGACATCGCCTTAAAGGACTCCGGCTGCGGTGACATAGCCTTAAAGGACTCTGGCTGCGGTGACATAGCCTTAAAGGATTCCGGCTGCGGTGACATAGCCTTAAAGGACTCCCGCTGCTGCATCATAGCCTTAAAGGACTCCTGCTCTGGCGACATGGCCTTAAAGGACTCCTGCGACATAGCCTTAAAGGACTCCAGCTCCTGCTGCTGCGACATAGCCTTAAAGGACTCCTGTGACATAGCCTTAAAGGACTCCGGCTGCGGTGACATAGCCTTAAAGGACTCCGGCT